AAACTCTCAACCCTTCCACCAATGACGCTGGCAACAACCACCCGCCTCCACCAACCATTCCCACTGCCTTTAAGCGTTGGACTGCGGTCCTTCTCTCCACTATTGCGGAAAGTTACATATGACTACAAATAATTGAAGAGAAATGTGTCCAAACTAACTCGGTCCTTCACTTTTGACCTGTGGAACGTTTTTGATTCCAAGATCATCTTGCGTGACCAGACCTAAAGCATACTCAGGTCTTATCAGCTTAAAATAGAAACCACACGGACAAACGCTAGAGAAGCGAAAAATAAATATAAGTGTACGAATATGAGCTCTGGCGCGGTTCGGATGATAGTCCCATTGAATTAGTGGTGCCGGGCGATCCAATGGGACCTGTAAGCACTTCCCGGGCTATTTCAGGGAAAACAGTTTCCGTGCCAGTTTCCAAAGCCGTGAAATTAGGGCAGTCTCGGGGGGAAACATTCGGTGACCCCGCAATATTCCCTCTCTGATACAACTCCCTCCCCCATCCCTCAGTCTTCTCAAATTCTCCCATTTTCAGAAGTTTCTTAAAAAATTTCCAGTTTCCCCCCTCTTCCCCCCCAGTCGAGGGGAGGGGATAGGGGGAAGGGGTGTATAGCGCGCGCGGAGGACTTCACTCTCACTTCATTTCTTCCCTGGTGAGGGAAGGTTCTCACGGCGGGTGATGCATTTTTTACCAGGGTGGTGGAATTTTTGCCGAAATGTCGTAGAAGACTGAAGGAAGTCCCTACCCCACCCCTGCCATGAGGGTAAAAAACTGCGAGAGGCTCTTAACTTCTTCAAGAAAAAATTAACCAAATTGCCACGAGTTTCTAGGCCCGGTATTGAATATCATAAGCTCACCTTTTCTATCGTTTTTCACATCCAACAGCAACGGCTCCAACTGACCCGCACGATCTGGACCAAGGCCTTCTCCAGGCCGCCAGCCCATTTTCTGCATCAATCGCATACCTACTCCCCCCAGAGTAGGACGCGTATTTTTGAACATGTCCTAGAAAATTTATATAAGACATACAACGCAATACACTCGTGAAATAAAACTGATATTCAAATTGTAAAGAAAAAATTCCACGCATCATCCTACAGCGGACGTGTCGGTGGTGAACGTGGACAATAGATCTGAAACAAATACAAACACCGGATAAAT